TAATATACATATTAATATATATTATGAAACAAAATTTAGTAAATATATGTATTAATTTATATATAAATAAATGTATTTATATAAATATATATTATTTATTTCAATTCATATAATATATATAATATTATACATAATTGAACTAAATATATTCACATTCATATAATATATATAATATACATAATTGAAATATACCTATTCAAATACATCATTGAAATATACAAATTCAAATATATTAAAATATAATTCAAATATACATATTAAAATACATAATTCAAATTTAGAAATTGAAATATACTTACTACAATTCACAAAATTTATTGCACGAATGCCGTAAATACAGGGTGTTTTATTGCAAACCTGATTAAAATTTTGTTCCCGTAAACAAAATTTTAATCCACCAACAACGGGTACTCAGTTCTTATAAGCTATAAACAGTTACTGTTTTATTCGAAATCGGTTTATTTTACTTTCTCCGCCACATACATACATTTTTAAATGGAAAACGGGGTTCTCTATTCTTATAATGGAGCAAAGTCGTAAAAAGCTAGTGTTCGAGTGAACACCGGTGTTAATTTTTTTTTCATCGGATATATAAATTGTGTTATGCAAAAAAAATAAAAAGGCTACTCTATTCTTATAATGCTGGATAAGCCATAAAAAGCTAGTGTTTTACGAAAAAATGAATTTATTATTTTTTATCCCAAAAACAATATGGCATGTCGAAACACGGACACTATGTTCCATTAATGGACGAAAGCCATGAACAGCTACTGTTTTATTGAAAAACAGGCTGGTTTTTTTTTCCGGATAAGTAACCAGCCGTTATGCAAATAAAGCGTACTCTGTTCTTATACTACTGCAAAGCCATAAAGAGATGGTGTTTTACGACAAAATGGAATTATTTCAATTAATTTCCTAAATAAAGCGGTTTATGCAAATACGGGTACTTTGTTCGTATTACGCAACAAAGCCGTCAATAGCTGCTGTGTTATTGCAAACGGGTTTTTTTTTTCAATTTTATCCAAAACCTAGTTTTTTTTATGCAAAAATTGGGAACTTTGTTCCTATAATGCGGGAAAGCCATAAAGAGCAAGTGTTTTATTGTAAAACCGGTTTATTTTGCTTAATCCACCATTTACATTTTTTAAACGTCCAAAAGCGGTTTTACAGATGAGGTATTTCATGCAAACTTGGTACTTTACCATGCCAATGGATAACATTTCAAACACAATCAAAGGTTTGGTATTTTAATTAACAAACATTCGGTTCCGCTTGGCTTACATACTTTTCTGGGTACTTTTCAAAAACAGCACTCTAGTCCTTCGATCGTGAAATACAAACCCTGTACATTTCGGCAATTCCTTTCCCTTTTACACAAATCCTTTTTACTTAATTGCTTTCCAATCGCTAATTTTCATTAATATGTTTACATTGCAACAAACAATTTAATTCCGCATAAATTGCAAAAAATTAGTATCTCAACTACTGGGACTTTGCTGATTCTTTGGAGGTCTCATAACAAAGCCGTTGAGAGCTGGTATTTTTATTACCGACACCTTTTTTCCGTCAATGGACTGCTTTCTATGATTTTCCTTTACTAAATGTCAAAGTACCGCCATTTAACCAGCATAAATATATCTCTTCGTTTAGAACTTTAAACAATAATGCTATTAACCTGTATCTTTCCCTTTCAGACCAAGTTTTTTGACTTTTCCATTTTTTCTGCGGCGCGGACAAAATTCTTCGGTTACTTTCCTATAAAACTTTTACACAAAAAATTTATATATGCATAAATTTTTTGTGTAAATAAACTAATTTATTCACATACGATCGAGTATTTATCCAAGTATATTAAAACTCCACACTAAGTAACGTACTCAATTTTAATCATGAATACAACACTTTTCTGTTATTTAAAATAACAAAAAAAAAACTGCTTCGCATAAGTTTTTTTTCATAACTGCTGTGCGGCAATCATTTTTTCTTTCTTCAAATCTCTGAACCTTCTTTACGCACATTTTTTGTCCAAGGCATTTGCAGCATTTTTGCTGCGGTAATGGGTACATTTGCAAATACAATAAATGCCTCTCCTTCTAACCTGCAATAAGACATCCTGTCCCAACCCAGGACGATAGTACGGAACTCTGTGTGCTTTGTTTGCTTCATTCCGCACGCTGTGTGCTTCATTTCCTCTCCACGCGCTCACCATCACTTTAACGTCTCCGTTTGGACCGTTTTGCCCCCAACACGTGTCGCTTCCTGCCAGCATTCCTACCATAGGCAGGTTCCCACCATAAAGGTATCCTGCTGAGAGTGTATTTAATGAAAGAGAAATGATTAGGGTGTACGAGTATAACAAAAGTTTGTTAAAAATTTTCTTCTTTTTCTTTTTTTTTTTTATAAAAAAAATCTTACAAAACAAGAAAAATAGACATTCAAATCCATACAAATAAATGACCCCATAAATAGACAAAAATTCAAGAAAATATCAACAATTGACAAAAATTTGGTATCTACAAGAAATCTAAAGAAAAAAATCAAGAAAATAGACAACAATAAATGACCTCCTTAATTGACAAAAATTTAAGAAAATATAAAAAATTGACAAAAATTTGGTGTCTATATGAATTTTGTCTTTCTTTTCCCTCCTTTATCCTTTACATCAACGAAATTAATTTAAAACTATGACAATTTTATAAGTTTTAAAGAAAATTTCCTCATGAACAACTTTCTTTTACCCTGTGTTTTTTCTTCTACTAAAGCTCTTCTTCTCACGTTATGTACACTAATTTATAGCCATTGTCAAGTTTTATCAATCATAAAATAGTGTCATTTGATACATCAATTGACATTATTTTATAATTGCAAGTCATCGTTCATCATTAAAGAAATTTTCAACAATTATTTTCGTTAATTAGTTACTAATAGTTAATTAGTGCTCTAATTACTCAATCATTAGATATTAGTTTCGAATATGACATAATGTCTTAGGATATATGAAGTTATATATTATTATGCTTTTCAAATGGCGTTACGAGCCAAACATGTTTTATGTTTTATTTTTAAAAAAAAAAAAAGAAAAAAAGAAGACAAGTATTTTGTTTCATTCATATAAACAAAAAATACATTTTGGGATTTTCTATTATGGCCTCTTTTTCTTTTCTTCTTGGTATTTGGCGTTATCCGTTTTGACTCTCTGAATCCGTCAAGTTTATTTTTGCTCTAGAAGAAAATAGAAAAAAGTGTAAACCTACTTTTCAATTAAGACGTTAGACTTATCATAATTACAGGGTTAAGGTATTGACATTCCCAAAAATTTGTGTAAATTAGACGAATTTCTTACTAATTTTTCAAATGGGTTAGTTGACAATTCACTTTCTTTAACTGGTGACACTCAATTTACTTCTTGTTCTTTTGAAAAAACAATTAAAGGATAGAGCGTTGTTAGCAATTATTGAAATGTGAACATGATCATGCTAATTTAAAATTGGGTTAATTACATTTACCTCCCCTGAGGTTTGACCATATTACCAATCAATCCCTGTAATTTGTCCAAATAACGGTCTCACCCTTTGAATGATCAAACATTTAACAAAAACCCCCTTAATGCCGAAAATGCCCTTATTGAGGCCATGTTGCTTTAAAAAAAGAACATATTTTTATTTTATTAACCCTGAAGCAATCCAAAAAAATAGAAAAAAGTTTTTGCTTATTATTTTATAAAAACCATATTTTTGCTTCCATAAATAGTTTTGAATCAATAATTATTTTAAATCTTAAAAATAAATATTAAAAATTAGATAAATTGAAAGAAAAATAAAAAAAGAAGAAATTATTTTAATTCCTGAAGTATGGTTCAAATTGAAAAAAACATACCTTGTGCTCTCCGCAACATGCCTTGAACCACAAATTCGAACCATACTTGAGGATTTAAAACAATTGCTTCTTTTTTATTTTTCTTTCAATTTATCTAATTTTTAATATTCATTTTTAAGATTTAAAATAATTATTGATTCAAAACTATTTATGGAAGCAAAGATATGATTTTTATAAAATAATAAGCAAAAACTTTTTTCTAATTTTTTTGGATTACTTGAAGGTTAATAAATAAAAATATGTTCTTTTTTTTAATGTAACATAGCCTCAATAAGGGCATTTTCAGCATTAAGGGAGTTTTTGTTAAATGTTTGATCATTCAAAGGGTGAAACCGTTATTTGGACAAATTACAAGGATTGATGGGTAATATGGTCAAACCTCAGGAGAGGTAAATGTAATTAACCCTAATTTAATACTAGTAGTGGATAATATGATTCACCACTATGTTGACTTTATTGTACAGGAGATTTTCTAAATTTAGATGTAAGGAAAATAACTTGGCAAAAGTTCGTTGGTGGAGTGAAATGCAGCTTTAGCTGCTCTAGGAGAGTGCCTAAATGATGGTAAACCCCTTAAAAGTCGGCATTATAAGAAGTGTCTGTCCACCGGATGTCCATTGAATACTTGTTAAAATATATTTCAAATGTTATATATTTTAAATATTATATTTTTGGAGATGTACAATTAATTAGGAAAAGTAAATAAATATAAGAAAGGGTGGGTGAGATTAAATAAAAAAAGTATATAAATATAAGGGTGATAATAATTATTTGTGTGTGTGTACATTACAGGTTATGTAAATTTTGGATACGTTAACTAGTGTCCAATCGACATCTGCTAGAAAAACCCTTGTAAAATTTGTCCCTATCATCATACCACAATAAGCAATTTTTCTTTTTTTACTAATTTTCTAAAGGATTAATCTTCTATATACTGACAGCTGACAGTGTATACACTTTCACCATTGGATGCATGACACATAATCTAAATTTGAATTTGAAACCTAAATTTTGCATATGTGTCAAATGTATATACTATTAATGTATATAAAATTTACTCTTTTCTAAAACCCTCCCATGCGGACAAGGGGCAACGGTTCCAGGTGTGGCGGTTTTGGTCATTTTCAACAGCGCATAACTTTGATTGCACACGGCGTAACTTTGTTTGCATAACGTATAACTTTAGTACAAAATTTTACGGGTCCCACACACGTTGTGAAAATCGATGTATAACTAATAATATGAACCGCATATTTTTTTTTGCCAAAATCTGACCGTGAACAGTTCAGAAGCTGATGACCGCTCCTGCCCCTCATCCCTGCCATGCCTTTGCATACCCTTTTCATCTCCAACTGTCAGCAACAGGATAACATCATTGAATCTGACACACAGGAGAAGAACTTGTGAGGCACAATAACTAACGATACTAAAAATATACAATTGTCATGAAGGACATATCTTTTCAAGGAAAAAAAAAGAATTTAGTGTTTTCACCTCTTGATGATAGAATTCTGCAACAATAACGAGGATGAGCTAACTAGAATTCGTTACTGCTAAATGAATTAAGAAGGATTTATACTCAAAAACTCCTTTGGACATTTTATTAATGCATACATGAGCAAGGCATAATTATTAAAGGTTGAGACTTCAGGAATTACACGTTTTGAATTCAAATTTTTAATCTCATTGCTCACTTCTTAAATCTCATCTCTTTCCTACTTTAATTAAATAAAGACATGATTATTAAGCTAAAATTTCTAGATTTCCACAAACACATGATTCAAGTTTCAATTTGTTGAGTTTTCATTACAAGAATTCAAGAATACTACAGACGTTTGTGTTTCTAAAGGTTATAAATATAGATGCAATCGCATTGTGATTATAAGGGATTTATATGGTCCACATGAGGACTAAGGAAGAATTGATGTTGGCTTCTGAGGTTCATTTCATCATACCTATAAAGAAAATGGCAGGAAGAGTCCACATTGAAAAATCTCCTCCATTATGGTGGATGAAAGCTTCTTTGAGAATTACCCTTTATATTCCTTATGCCTTGTGAAATTTCCTCTTTTTGTCCAAGTGTGTGGTTCACCATAATGGTTTCATACGGTAAAGATCAAAGCTGATGTAAAACTAGATGAATGTAGAAGTCAAGTAAAGTGAAACTGCATATCATCATATTAATTGAGCACTTCATTTCCAAATGGAAATCACACACAAGAATAAAAGAATGAAAAGAGCCTTGGAGACTCGATATTTAACTAGAATAAGTTTGAAAACTAAACTTTCCCACTCTATTTTAGACTCTCTTCTGGAAATGCAGATACAGAACAAGGATTACCGATGCCGAAAGAAATTAAAAGAATTGGGGCCTATAAGAGCATAAAGTAAGTACTACATGACAGTCATGCCTTTTTGGATCATCACCTCCCTTGTAGACTTGAAATCTGCGAAAACTCCAGCTCCTCCAACAACTAACTGATCAGGTTGATCAGCTGCCACTGCTGCAGATACACCATTTTTACATGGTTTATCCAAACCACCTTCCTTATCCAGTTCTGTACTATCATTATCCTCAGGAAGCTCCAGAAGTTGACTACCAGTGAAGGACATTTCTTCTGCAATTGTACTCAGCCAAGCTTCCTGAATTTGTAAGACATACTCCAGGTGCCATAAAACTTCCCCCATGGTTGGCCTGCTTTTCCCTTCTTCTGCAAGACACTTTTCAGCGATCTCTCCAAATCGAGTTAAAGATTCTGGAGAATATTTCTCATTGAGTCGTGGGTCAATAATGGTTTCAAGTGATTTCTGGCGTTGCCATTTCATTGCCCATTCTGCAAGATTGATCTGATCTTTTGGCAACGTTGGGTTGATAACAGCTCGTGCACATACGACTTCAAACAATACCACCCCCAATGAGTAGACATCAGATTTCTCAGTCAACTGCTGCCTTCTGAAGTATTCAGGGTCTAGATATCCAAAGCTCCCTTTGACTGCGGTACTCACATGTGTGTGCTCCAATGATGGACCAGTTTTGGACAGCCCGAAATCAGCCATCTTTGCTACAAAGTTCTCATCCAACAATATATTTGTAGTCTTGACATCCCTGTGGATAATTCCCCGTTCTGATCCTGTATGAAGGTAATGCAGGCCCCTGGCTGCACCAATGCACACTTCTATTCGTTGCTTCCACGTCAATGATGGAAGGTCAGTCCCAAAGAGATGACTCCTAAGTGTACCATTAGCCATAAACTCATATACCAATATCATTTCATTTTGTTCATCACAGAATCCTATCATGGCAACCAGATGCCTGTGCCTCAGTTTGGATAGCATCTCAATCTCTGTTTCAAATTCTGTCAGACCTTGTTGAGACTGTGGATTAGCTCGCTTAATCGCAGCCAGTGTGCAATTTTCAAGTTCTCCTTTGAACACCTTACCAAATCCTCCAACACCAATCACTAAACTTTCGTCAAAATTGTTTGTGGCTGCTCTAATCTCTGCAAGGGTGAAACGCCTTCCGGACCTACTGGCTGCAAATCCACTGGGATTTTGACCTCGTGGAGATCCCTTTGCATTAGTACTGCTGTCAAGAAGGAATATAGGTCGCCATCCAGGAGAGGTCTTTTTCGTATCACCCTGTTGAGTGCTTGGCTTTCTACATAACCAGAAAATAAGCGCTACGATAGCTGCAAGAATGACAATAGAAGCAATGCCAGCACCAATTGCCACCCAAAGTATCAAAGATCTTGAAGACTTTTTCTCTTCTGACTTCTGATAGCTCTGTACAAAAGCTAGATTACCATCTCGACTCAACTTGAAAACTTCTAAACCATTCAAGAGAGCATCAGTTCCAGCAGCAGCAGCGCTTGCATCAGGACCAAGCTGTATCCACAGGTTGTTCGATTGGGAAGGCATCACATCAGAGTAATCCTCATGGTATGCCTTGTTCATTCCACCCGCTCGGGTGAAGATGTCAAAATTGTCGGCTGCAGTTTTATTGTTTATATAGATTCTGAAATTTCTTTGATTTGATATATTATATACCAGCTCACAGAAATGTAATCGGACAAGGTAATCAAAATCAGGATCCACTTCCAATTTCCATGACATATTAAACCTTTTCTCCAAGACATCATTATTGGACATAGTTCTAGCCGATTCATATACGGGAATGGGAGCAAAATAGGTGTCATTAGGTGAAGCATAGACTATGTAGGATTTGTTTCTGATTTCTGACCCTGCATCTACATTGATCATGTAGCCAGAATCCAGCTCCCATAATCTCCAGAGCTCCGAATCCTGATCAGGATTGATTGTCGATCCCCCTACATTTAACCTATACATAGTTTCAATCCCCCTTTTGCTCAAATTAAGAGAACTATTAGCACCATTTCCACCCACTTTCTTTACATAGTCAAGAAAGAGCTTATCTGCAACTGGAATAACTTCTATTGCATTCACAAAACCAAAAGAACCTTTGCTTGGAATAAAGTCAATTGCAATACCATTGCTTTCCACATTGAAGAAATACTCCTTCACCAAGGAAGTAAAACTAGAATTGCCTTTAGAAGCCTGCAAATTGCTATTCTTGTCTCCAATCTCACCAGGGACATTGAACTCAGAAACCAACTTCAAACCATTGGCCTCCACAGAAAAGTAAGATTGATTTGCATTGAAATTTTGAAATGCAAACGGATAGAAATGGAGCCGAAGAAAATAGCTGCCCTGTGCTCCTTGCAAAGTGTAATTTAATCTGTCCGTAAAAATTCTAGCAGTTTTGTATAGTGATGCATAAACTGTATCTCCACTGACCATGGCAGTGGATGCTTCAATACCAGGTGCACTCATGGTGATATTGTTCCCTGGAGATGAGTCACCAATCCATTTTCTGCCATTCACATTAATACTGGAATTCGATCCACAATTAACTAAAAATGCATTCATCTGAGCATCTCCTATTCTAACAAGTACACATATCATCCCTATAACAAATAGGCCAAAGAATCCCATGCCTTGGAGCCTCATGCTTGACCAATATTTCTTCCTTCCCCTTCCTAATTTACCTGTTCTTCTCTTTCTGTGTTCACCCTTTATCCCTTCAAAAAGGATGCAGAAAAAACCACCAACAGCTAGTCAAGAAAAGGAGCAAGAACAGATAAAAAGCTCAAATCTTGAATCACAGTAATGACTTGACATCCAAATACATCTCAGTAAAGATAACAAGTTTCTATCTTTCTCAACATCTTCAAGAACAGAAACAAAAATTAAGCAAAAGCATCTAAGTTACCTTCACTGAACCCTTCTGGGCATTTGCCAAATCTTGAGAAATGGGATGAAGAAACACAATCCCACAAGCAAGATGCTTCAAAAGATAAATGTCTTGAACTGACAAAAGCCAATCAATATGCAGATCTGGAAACAAAATCTTGTGCAGAAATTGCAAAAGAAACAGAAAGTTCAAGAGAAAAGAAGTATGGCACGAGTTTTCTTCAATAATTATGCTGAAAATGCAGTGAAGATTAACTATAAGTAGCTATAGTGATTTCTGGCATAATGCATCCAAGTTTCTACTCCCCTTTGTATAAAAAGAAGAAAAACACGGCATTGGCTGGAGTGGTTTGAAACAGACTGGAAACATTCATGTCAATTGCAATGGTCTGTTTTGTGTGGAAAAAAGAGTCAAGAACCTTACATAAGCATATCTTTTAATCAAGTGGTTATTACACTACTTAACTTTAATACTCATACATTTCTTGTAACTGCTGTAACATCTCAATTTTCTTTCCCAACAACCCAAAGTGCAAGAATTCCTTTTCTTTTCTTTCTTCTTCCAAAAAACAAAAAATCTACCATATAGTAGTAATTTTTTTTTTTTTTGAAAACAAAATTGAGTGGACAGGTGGATTTCGACTTTGATCATTGCCATAGTTAGGAAAAGTAGATATTATAAGTTACTCACCAACTAAGTGCTTACGATGATATTAAAACTAATAGACGCAACCTATTTAAAAAAAAAAAATCCTTTATATCAATTGAATTAACATGCATAAAACAAGTTTGGATTGACCGTTTTTTAAAAAAACAAAATTTTCAAATACAATACTACAGTACTATAGAAATAAAAATAATTTAAAAAATACCTCATTCATATAATATATCAAATATTTTTTAAAAATTTTCATATATACTATTATAGTAAATTTTTTTAAAAATACTCCCAAAAAACAGCTAATTTAAACGGAGCAAGTTTTGCAAGTTTTTTTCCAATTTTATGGGCATGAAGCTGACAAGTGACAGGTGTTACAAGAAATTATGGGCATCCATTATTGAAGGGCAGGAGAAATGTTAGGGGGGGAATCACATGGATGTGTCTGGAAGATAATCAACAGTTGAAATTATTTTGATGCAATTTGCTGAATAAATTTCAGGAGGACCTTATGGGCTGTCTTGTTTTGTTGTCTGAGTCCGTTGACATTAACAAAGGCAAAATCTTGTCTTTTTACTTTCCGTACAAGAGTACTCCATCCATTGGACGTCAACATTTATAGTAATTAATTACTACTCCCTCCGTTCCATTTGATAGTCTTGTATTCCTTTTTCATCTGTTTCAAATTATAGTACACTTTTCAATTGAAAAAAGTAGTTGTATTTTAATTTTTCTAAAATACCCTTATTCAATGTAAGTAGTTGTTACTATAAACCTACCCCATTTAATGAGAGTTGATTCTTTTTTTACCTTCAATTCAAGTTCCCATAAAGTTGTACTATATTTAATGTAAAGGTATTTTAGGAAAATAGCAATCTAAATTTACTTTTCCAACAAAGTTAACTATTTTTTCTTAAACTGTGTGAAAAAAGAAACAGGACTATCAAAGTGGGACGGAGGGAGTAGTAGTGTTTAATAAATAATTGTACTGCTCCAATTACTAGCACTGATTAATGTTTCTCCTAAATTGTAGGCATCCGGGATTAATTGTGTATTATTTATTCATTTCCTATTGAGATTATGGTTTCAAGTGGGACGGTAGATTTGAAGCAATTTTGTTTACTTGATTATGTACTACATAGCATTTTGTCGTGACTTGGGAGAAAATTTTTTTCTTAATTTTTTATTTACAAAAGGAGAATTATATAATAAAATTTGAAGGCCACTAATTAATAATTCAATTAAATTAGATTTAATATATTATCTAATTAAATGCATGTAATAATTAATACCCGTTGCTTCCTTAGCATTCAGATATTTTCTTATTTTAAATTCATTTTTCAAAAGAACTAACACCTCTAATTCCTCTTGTCTTTTTTTTTTTTTTTTCTGCAACGGTAGATTATGTATTGATTGGCAAAAATATACACTTATATGAGCAAAGGCTCAACTAGTTCTATACAAGAGTGTTAGACACGCTGAGAATTGATCCATTCCTCATCTTGAGATATGCCTAAAGCATAATCACTAATCCATTCACATTTAGAATCTAGATTTCTATCTAAACAAAAGGAGCATTTCTGGAATAAAGCTCTGAGGCTATTAATATCATCAGTCAAAGTTGCCAATCCTTGGCCAACCCATTCGTTATCATTTTCAACAGCTGAGGGCTGAGGAGATGGACTGTAATTTTCTGCCATTGCTGCTGTCTGGCCTTTATGATGGCCATCTTCACAGCTTCCGCACTTGTCTGCAAATGGCTTCCTACGTACCTATCAGTTAGTGCCCAAGCAGACACCAACTGATGGTTGAAATTAGTTGCTATAATTCCAGTACCAACTCTATTGGTTTGTTTTTGCACATGAGTTGATAATCTGATCTGCATTTCTTCCCTTCCAACCTCATCTGTTTCTGCAGTCTCTCTACCTCTTTCAGCTTCCACAGGTGTCGATTTCTCCTCCCTCCAATCTGATGCTTGCTCTTGCCATTCCTGTAGGGCCTTTTTAATTGTTTCCCAAGGATGCCTTCGTTTGGCATTGAACTTCCATTCATTCCTTCTTTTCCAGATTTGCCAAAGGAGGTTCACAGTTAGCTCTACATGTTCCCTTCCTTCTATCCTGTTTGTTGCTTCCAGCATAGTATTCCACCGTACTAATATGTTCCTTGTCTGTTCCGTTAAACCCATCCCATTGAATTGGAGCCATCTTCCACACTTCTTGAGTACCACACTTCCGTTAATTCCTCTTGTCTAATGTGGCAATTTTCATTGAGTACCAAACTTACAACAAACAACAACTTGTTGTACTGGGGTCTAGTCCTCATGATTATGCAAATTAATTCTTTTTTTTTTGAGCAACTATAGGAAACAATTTACTTATTCAAGTGATAAAATTTTTTTTTTTTCAAAGAAGTTGTCAAACTTAAGCTTGCTCAAATTTTTTGACTTTAAGAGCATCACATTGTACATTTTCTTCAAAATTTCAAAAATCTCCAAATTGTGAACATTTTCTCATCATTCGAAATTTGCATGTCTATGTATTTTTTTTTTTAAAAAAAAGTGCATTTAAGCTGGCTTTTCTGGCATAATGGATTGTAAGTTGGTTTTTTTTTTCCCTTGTGGATAGAGGATTGGATATTAATGTCTTCACCCTGTGAAAGAAAAAGGAATTTGGAAACTATATCTTGAAATGGGAGATTACTATTTTTTTTGGGGTATGTTTTACAGAAATGTATTTGTGAAAATTTTCAAATATGTTTTTGGAGCAATTTTTTTTTTCTTAAACATATTTATGAATAAAGATGCTATAGTAAAATTGTTGTAAGAGCACCCTTTAAATTTAGCCCTTCCAAACGAAGCAGAGTTTCATTATGGATCATATGAAAATTTGCTCTCATCAGCTAATTAAGTAAAGAAATAACACAGTTAAGCTAAGGTTCCCATAACCAGCAAAATATTATTTTGCTTGCATCACAATTGCAATTCCCAATTGGTTTTTTATCTTCCGAACAACCTTTTTATCTCACATACATTGCATCACAAAAAGTATTACAGTAATTATTTCAAATATTATATCACATAATCTACTGTTCTATGATTAACAACTTCTACAGGGCCAAGTTTCTTTTACTTCAACATTCGATGTGTATACTAGCTAATTGAATAGAATGTGTAGTGCTTAGTCAATTTTGTCATATTAGCTAAGTAGAAGTTTTATGTCTCTCCCACAATATTTTTTTGCATTGCTTTAAATGGCTCTGTTGTCAAAGTTTACTTTTAGTCGCATTCTTCAAGATTTAATAGTATTAATCAATTCGTCCAACCATAATATTAAGAGTAAAGGGCACAAATAACTTATTATTATCCAAAATGTTTACTTAACTAACAAAAAAAGCACATATTTAGTCACTTAACTTAAAAAAAACATAATTTTTATCACTTATTTTATGAAAACATATACCTATTGATCTCAAAATGTATGTTCTAATTCTAATTAGTTGAATGACCTTTTTGACTAAATTTTTTTTTTTGATAACTAAAAAAAGAATGTTAAATAATTTTTTTATAGCCATATATTGCCACATTTGCTCTAAAGTAAGGAAGTGAGAGGAAAGGTTTGAGAAATGGAATGAAACAAAACTTAGTTTGTGTGTTATTGTTATGACAATTAATAGCAAGGATGAGTTCAAATATTAACAGAGTTCTTCTTATCCCTAAGAAGATATTAGGCTACAAATATCATTACTTTCGCTATAATATCTGATTCCCTACTTGTGACTAAAGAAATATATTGACACTATGTAATTTCTAATCTCTAATTGGTAATATAATTTAGTAGATGAGCTATTATTGTTTCCTTGGGCTTCATTTGGATTAAGGGAAGGAGAGAATATCATTAAGTAGATATTAACAAATAAAGTAGATGTTGTGATAGATGGAAGGAAAATAATGCAAAGACTAAATGCATACTTTGGAAATAGAAAGGCAGCCTCAAATATCTCCATACCTCCTCATTTCCTTACTTTCCATTTTTTTTGGTTAGTCCATTTGAAATATAGAACTAGTATCTATTGAAAAAGGAGAAGAGTGGGAAGAGGAAGAGGGAAGGGAGAAGAGGAAGAAGGAAACGGGGGGGTGGCAGCAGAAGGTGGAGTGTGATGGTAGAAAGGACGGGGGTGGTGGTGGAGGGTGGTTGTCAGGGAACGACAAAATTTTTTTAAATTATCTCAATAAAAATTTAAAACTATCTCCAAATATATTTATAGTAAAAATTTTTCATGTACAAATTTAGAGTAAAGTTTTTCAAAGACACGCCTAAAAATACTTAATTCACATGGATCAATGTTTCCCCTAAATTGTAGTTTGTCTGTTCCATTTGGTCACATTTATGTGGCCTAAATTGAGGCTGCACATCTGAAATTTATGAATAAAAAATTAAAAATTTGAAATTGACGATTTACATGATCGTACTAGTATCTTATCGATCAACGACCTAATTTATAAGATACAGAATTTTGAATTTGGCGATATCAAGGGTTGTACAATTATTTGATCAAACAGCAAGGTTTATTTTGAAATTTGGACAAAACAATTTGCGTCTCTAAAGGTATGGGGTATTCATACTTTATCCCCTCCAATTTTGGAAATATATACTTCATTACTTCAATGTATTTTAACTTTGTCACTCCATTTGTATATTTCTCTTCGAAAAGTACCATCGACTTCTTGTAGCCTTAATAGTCAAGTTTATGGCAGTTGTATTAATACCTTTCTACCTTTCTATTCCAGGTAGTAAATATTCATCAAGAAGCTGCAATGCCAAACGAAAAAAA